ACGACGAACCCCCTAGGAGGAGTTCGATTTTGGCCAAAAATGGCCCGGCATGGTCGCCGTTTTTCCAACATGGCGGATTTCCTGTTGGGTTTACAGAAACATGCTAATGGACTTTTTTGTGCGTCACGAGTTGTTACACACGTGTGGCGAAGGTCGTAGTTGTAGGTGAAATCCGATGGGAATATGTTGAAATATTCTAGGGGGCGCAGTTGAGCCGTGTTGCATTTTAGAGCTTGGTGCAGAGAGATGTTTTTGTTTGTGCCGATGAGCTCTATATGCCTACCAAATTGCGTAGCTGTAGGTCATACGTGCTTCAGACAGTACTCCGTTGAAATTTTCAAGGTGGCGCTGTGGAGCCATTGTGGCAGCCACATGTCCAAGTCCATATCAAATTTTTCGCCAGTTCTGGTGTGTGTGGCGATTTTGGTGAGTTTTCGTGCATGTTAAGGCCCTCAAAATCGCGTTTCAAAAGTCGGTAAAATAATAATAAAGAATAATAATAATAATCACAACGGTTACAATAGGGTCCTTGCACTGGAGTGCTCGGACCCTAATAATATATAGGTGGGGGGGGGGATTGAATCTCAGCAATGAAGGATGGGATGTGTGCCTGTATTTTTTTAATATATAGTGGATCTAAAGTGCTAGTTTTTGATTTGACATACAAGCAAAGACTGTACTGTTCAACTTAGAAGCGATGCATTTACTGAAAAGCCATACAATGTTTAAGCATTTGACATTTAAGTGATTTGGTTGCCTTCTGTATGTGTAGTGGGCATATCAGGCTGGTGACAGGATTTAAAGTCTATTTAATGCTCTGCTGACCTCTAGTGGGTGTGAGGGTGTAGTGTAAAAATCAGCTTATTTACAATGTATTAGGTAGCTTCCGAAGGGTGACGGTGAGAGATGTTTTTGTTATGACCAGTAAATGCATCATGTAAACTGTAGCATCATCTCGACTTTCTGCAGAATCTGCGCTGCCCGTAAACCGCCCACACAGCAGAGGACAACTGTGTGGCGTTCACTAACCCGTCCTAAACTCGTAACTTGCCAATCTTTCGAAAAAAGCGTAACTCGAAGCGATATCGAGGTACAAAAAAATGACATTAACAGTGAGAAGTTGCTTTGGCTGCTGTTTTATTCTAGAAACCACGCTAGCAATCAACGACAGTGATACAATAGCCGCTAAACAGCAGATTTGAGAAGCACAAGTATATCATGAGCTTAAAAAATAAAAATAATACCGCAATGAATGTATGTTAATGTGCTGTACAACCTACTTTCTAAAAAATCGATCTAAGTTCAATTACCTCGCTCAACATGCATGTTCATTTAACCTAAACGTCGCGTTACCATGGTAAATACTCAGCTCGCCTTTGTTTCCGACAGCCCTTGAAGGCAGCACCAGCATTGCTTTACTTTACAGAGCTCTCGGTGCAGCCTTTCCAACAAAGGTTGCGTTTGGCGATTTAAAACTTTAGTTTAATGTTGGCGTTCCGCTTTATTCTCTCGTTTAGACCGCAGAGACGCAACTGAAGGACTCGGTGCTGTTTTCTTTTCGCGCTTTCGTCAATGTAAATAAACTTCCAGCTCAAATCTGGGAGGCTGCGAGCCAATGGAGCGCAGATTGTGTGGATGTAGATGAGGCACGATGCTAGCAAGCTAACTGGCTACTGAGGTAAGAGCAAAATCCAGAGTTATTGTCACTTTTACTTTACCTTTCATTGCTCGGCGCTGTTTATTTCGTGTATTTTAACTTACCTGTACAATAAGTAATTGGAAGCAGAGCGTTGAAGTTTGTGGGAAAAGCTAGACACTAAATGGGAAACTTTGGGAAACTTTTCAGAGCAGAGGCCCAGCAGCTTGATGCAGCTTGAAGCAGCTGACTGGGCGGCTGGATGACACATGATGTACATTTGTGGTTTCCTTTAAACAGATTTTTGTATTTGACATTGTTGGTTAAGCTCTCAAGATGGTTCACACTTCTCTCAAACTCGTTTTATCATTTTCTTCATTATTTAAATCCACCTACCTAGACATTGCTGCAGTTTTATATCACAGGTGTACATTAAGCTGGCAGGTAGCTTCATCAGAAAGCACTAAAAACCAAAAATAGTATCCATTCCTCTGCCTTTAATTCATTCTTCACTTAATTCTATAGAAAGTATACATTTTATGGACAGTACCTGACTTCTGTTATGGTGTCAATTGTCTGTAAAGGAGAAGTGAAGTTTAAAGATGCACCATTAACTATGTAAAGATACCTGTACAGAGAAGTTCTATTTTTGCAACATCCTCTTTGATGTGAAAACAGCACTTTGAAGAAGAAAGGTCTGAAGGGTCAACAAAAGTTGAGCTTACAATTGTAATTGATGGAATTTATACAGTGGTTGATGGGAGGCTTACTGGAAAAAAAGAACTGCACAAAAAAATTATACTGCAGTAGTTTTTCTGCGATATACATGTTACAAGTTACAATGTGAAGAATTATGAGAATTTTCACCGAATGGCTTGAATACATTTGTCACGTTGTGGAACACTGGCAAAGGCATCCAAAAGTTGCTTTACTGGTTTGCTTTGGTTGGCGTTCAGATCTGACTTTGCTCTTGCCGTACAGAACTTTGTGATGCTGATTTGAATAGTCAAATTAATTGTGTTTCCTCACGTGGTGGCAAAAATTGCAAGACACAACGTCATTCTTTCTGTGTCAAAATATTTGCATACAACTATTGTTGCATTAATTTTCGCAATTAAATCTTGCTTTTCAGTGTTTCTCTCCTGTTTGTTGCTTATTTTTGTGTGGAGCCTGCATGTCAACAAACTGAGTGTCTTGTGAATAAAGTTCAAATAAAACTCAGTGTAACCAAGAAGCCTTATATTAAATGTAAATGATGTTCTATCAGACAGACCTCTCGTAGATTTATTATGGAAAATGAGAACCATGCAAATTTTCTTGCAAGTTGCAGCATGATGTGTTTGAGTTTGCCCTACCTTACATTGCCCTTACGGCGATGTGACTATTGCGCATGCACACATGGTAGCGTCATTGTGTGATATATTGTGCAGCCCTACAAGAAACTAAGATTACTTTGTCTTTGTCTTGTCTGCAGCAGTCCAATTAGTTAGTGTGTGATTTCTGTGCATTGAAATATTCCCTCAGTCCACACATTCCTGAGCATTGACCTGAGGGCAAGAGGACAGAAGTGGCTTAACCCCTGCACCTTCACTGAGCTGCGGGTGGGGCAGTCATTACTAACTCTGTGCAGCTCAGCACTGTTCAAACCTGCATAACTTTGCCTTCAGTGCTAGTAGAATTTTTTCCAGAGATAGTGAGGCCAAGCTAAATTTAGGAGATGAGCGTAAAATGCAGGAAATATGCCGATGATAGAGCCATGAGACACATCATCGGGTCTGTCAGCATCATACATCAGGTTCAATGAAGAGCTCAAACAAGCTTATACATCTGTGTGGAGTTTACTACAGCCAGATATTGCAGAACAGCCCAGTTTCAAAGCTACTTATAGGGTTCCTAGTCAGTATGGAAAAGTATGGAATTTGATTTGAATCCCTTCTAATTCTGGATAAGCACACAAAGGAGAGTATAAAAAAATACTTGTGTTTGCAGACTGTTGCGACTACTTTGTTTTCTAAAGCATTAATTTCCGAATTTTAAAAAATGAACTGAGCATGTAGCAGAGTGTTTTTCATGGTGTTTAGAGCAAGCAGCCAGTGTCATCTAATGTTTGCAACTGTGTGAGAGAATGTGGGCCAGAGTGAGCTCCATGTGACCGAAAGCACGGCAAGAAGTGTGGCATGCGACAACGCACACTTTTGCACAGAGGTGCCACTGAGTCTGTATGTCAGAGCCTGTATAACAGCTCTGCCCTCCATTACCTTAAAATGATACCAAATTCAGACGGCTGTGAGCAAGTTCATTTTGCTATCTTTGAATTGCATCCCAAATAACCAACTATTAGACTTGTCTGATGTTGTATGAGTTATGCAGTGATCAGAAAAGTTTATGGACTATCTTTTCTGGGTGAGGAAACCATACCTTTACTGCTGTTATATTGTCGTTTCCATGGATACAGTGAATTAGCAAGGTCGCACAGACACTGTAAAAGTTAAAGTATCTAACTTTTTTGAACTCATTTTTAGTTGCTGTGTATAAAAAATGTGGTTGAAATAATATTATTTTTGCAGTATGTTTAAATTGATGCTAGTATAGGTTGCACCACCTGTCCTCTTTGGACAGGGATGCTGTTGTTCTCCTTTGCTGCTTTGTGTTTTAACACTTCAGCTTGAATAATATACGGTACATTAACTTGTCTGTGTTTGGTGTTATATGATTTGTATTGTTCCCACTGAGCTTCAATCTTTCTTTGTCAGAATGTAGATTATACTGTTTGTTAGAAATACAGTTGGACTTTAAAACCATTTATTTACATCCAGCTATTTTTACTCAGATGTGAAATTTGTTCTGAAGAATCTACTGAGAGGTCAGGACATTTGAGTCTGGAAAAGTTTGGAATTTTGAAATGGAAAATGTGTAGGAAGCCTGCACTTTAGTGGAGCTTTAGATATAAAGGTCTCCATCTGTGTAATGGTGTTGATGTGTTTGAAGCTTGCTCACTCTCAGCCACAGTCTAGTGCTTGGTCACAGTTCAGAATAGGCCTTGATTTACATGGCGGTGCACAAACTTCTAATTCAGTAATCCACATCAAACGCACTACTTCTGCACACTTGTACATGTAGTATTTTTGTCACACCCTCATTATAGTCAATTAGAGCCTTCAGATAACATAAAGCTTAAGCAGAGTAGAGGGAGGGAGCTCAGCAGCTCCAACACTTTCTTTGTTTGGCTTCTAAAAACATTAGAATTTGTTGTACTTTAGTGCAGCTTAATAGCACATTTTTTGACACAAGTTTAATTTAAGCATCATTACAGCAAAACCTTCAAAGCATCTGGTAGTAGAAGCAAGTTGTAAAATATTGAGGGGAAACGTGTGAACCCTGTTGGCTCTACACTGGCAGCAGTAGTCTAGCTGCGCACTTATAAAAGGACTCAAGAATATTTAAAGAATCTGTTTTGCCAGCTGCTGTGTTGCCTACACAAAGCCTGCTCTCTGTCTCTGGGGGACTCCTGGTTTATATAAACCACCCATGACATCCACCAACTGGCTACCATAACTCTGGACGGATGTCTGAGTTTTACAGCAGAATTGTGGGAAACTGTTTAATCTTTACATCCAGCACGTTGGACTTTACACAGTTGTTGCATTTGCAGAACTGATAGAGGACAACTACGATACGACAAATGTGCTAAGTGTCACGCTATAGTTCTAGCTCTGATAAGATTTTTAAATGGTTCTGGGCATGTCTGTTCACACAGCTCTCTCTTATTGTTGATAAAAGCTTTTAACTGTAGTTTCCCACGATCAGAAGAGGTAAATATTAATTCCTATCACTGCACTTCCTTTATATCTGACTTTAGGTTATCAGCCTGTTTACATTATGTGCTGCTGCTGCTCTGCTTTTATTTCTTAACTGTGTAGGTGCTGGTGAGCAGTAAGCTAGCGTTAAGCCTCCCTGCAGCCTTTTTACACCTGGTTTGAGTTCATTAGGTGCAGCCAGGTAAAACTAATGCAGTTTAATGCAACGGTCCAACAATAAATCCTGCCTTCATGAAGGTTATTGAGCTTTTGTTTTAGCCTACAACACCGATAAATAGACTTGAAAACATATTAGAAACTACAGCAGCAGCAATTAATCAACTAGCTGTTCACTATTAAATTAGCCAGAGTTGGTGTCATATGTTTGTTTTTTTTTGTTTGTTTGTTTTAAAGTACATATTCTTTCTTTACTCCTCTCTGACAGTAAACTGAATTTGCTTGGGTTGTGGACAAACAGGACATTTTATGTCTTTGGAAATTGCTGATAAACTTTTTCAGCATTTTCTGGCATTCTATAAACAAAGAAAATTAAGGAAATAATCAGCAGTCAGAATGGTATTCATTACAATAATACCTATTAGAAACAATAGTATATATATATCCCAACAAACTACATTCCTGTACAAGACTGTTTGGACGCCTCATTAGTTTTATCTAAGTAACTTCAAACTTGTTGCTGACAAGCATCATACCAATCATTACTTTTTAAAACATTACTGATATGTCTGCTTGTAGCTTTTGTTTAATATACCCAAAGTAATTAGTGTGTTATTTTACTAAACTGTCAATAAACTATGAAGCCTTTATCTACGAGGCTGGTATGTGTGAAATGTGTCCAGTAGTGCTCACACTGAGAAAGTCTAAATGTAGAAGTCAGTGAACCAAAACTTTACCGCTTTTGCTGTTCTAGCTGCTGCTTTCTCGGTGCCATGTCATTTGAGATCTGATCCTTGAGTGTCTGGGAATTGCTGGACCTTTTTCTGAGTGTCTGAGCACTAACATTCCTGGAAAGCCAAAATGAATATTGAGATTCAGAATGAATGTGAGCCATGCAGTTACAGAGCAGGTGCTGCCTTTGGGTCTGTAAATCATGCGGACTATCCCAGCGCCATATGTTTCCCTCTTTTTTAGTGGAGGCAGAAACAGCACACAACAAAATGGCCTTAGTAGGAGGTGGACACACTGTGAATTTTCAGGAGCTACATGAAAATCCAAGGTAGCAAAGTTGTAAGTTCATAAATGCTTATCAATTTTTCTCTCCTTTTAAACAACCAGGAGATGGCAGCAGACATGCATCATGCCAGATATTTGATCTTTGAATGGGCAGAGCTCATCTCTTACAGTAGTTGGCAGCAATTTATAATGGTCATTGTGAGAAAACAGTAGTGGAGAGAGTATGAGAGAGTCATTTATACGGTCATTTAAAACCAGTGACTAAGGCATAATGTTTCAAACATTATGTTTGTTGTCATAAAAGTAAGATACCTTGCAAGCTGGCCCACAAAACTAAGCCCATAAACAAATTACAAAGATAAAGAGTGAACAAGACTCTCTGACTGCTAGCATTTATTAGTTACTACGGTCTTGAAGATAAACTGACTTGGGTTGCAGTTTATACAATTTCAATCAAGTGAAAATTGTTAATTTGTGTTTTGGTTTCTAAAATGTGAAAACACAGTAACAAAAAAAAATGCTCATCACAAGTGTCCTGATCAGAAGATGGTGTCTTCAGTTTGCTTAATTTGTTCAAAAAGACATTTTACAATAACATTTAATTTACTATTGTGTAAGATAAAGAAAAGCAGAAAATTTACTCATTCATAAGCCTGAAACCAGACTTTCAGACATGTTTGCTAAGGATTGACTGAATATTAGCCTGCCTGATTATTAGATCAGAGAATAAGCTTTTTTTTTTTTTTCAAATATCAGTGGGTTGGGGTTTTTTTTTGTTTGTTTGTTTGTTTGGTTTTTTTGACAAATTCCCACTAAAATAAATACTTGATCACATGTGATACTTTGACTCGAATGCAGCTGTGTTTTTCTGTCCTTACTCGCCACTGTGTCCTGCTCAGGTCAAGTAATAACTTGCTAAATAAATGGTTAAGAGAAAATCTTTTCACTGAAGGTGTGCAAAACATAAATAAACAAAAGTTTTGCAACAAAGTTTTGCATTGGAAGTTTTGACACAAAGCTTTTCAGTTTTGCTCCAAACGTATATCGGGTCCTAATGTTGGTTATGAGTCTCCTTGATCACTAATAATCCATAGCTGAATTGGCCAAAATTTTGCCCACACAGTTAATCGGTACTAAAAATGTTCTTGCAACTGATCAGTTCATTAAACAGTGTTGTTGTTCATGTGTCTCTCCTGAGGTTCAGGTCTTCGGCTTTTTTCAAAAAATTTTATTACGGCAGTTGTGTAATTAGACACGTTTCAGTCAAGTTGTTCCCACCCATCAATACACAGGCTGATAAGAGGATAAAGTGAAGTGCAATTAGTCAGCGTGTTGGTCATTGTTGTTGACACAGTTTCAACCTCGGACAGGAGAGCTGAGTTATATGATCCGGCCTCGAGGCCACTCCTCCTCAGCAGCAAGCGCTTTCTTAGTGGGTGAGTCTCTCATTCCTGCTCAGACTTCACACAGCTCTGGTTTTGTGTACTTCCATTCAAGTCAGGAGTTCTCAGGGAAAAGTTTTCACTCTTTGGATTTTGACAGTTTTTCCACAAAGTAAGTACATTTTTCAAATATTGTCCAATTGGCAGTCTTTCATGTAGCATGTGTATGTTTTTTTGTTTTTTTTTAATTATCCTAGTGCCCTCTAGGTGCATTAATTTGGATTAATGTAGAATATCTATCCTTGTGAAAATAATATTTTTAATGCTCTTTTGAAGCTACATCAATTTTTTGATGATGATTGTTTTGCCTTCTCACCAAAGTGCACTTGAGCATGTAATGGTATGTTTAAAATGTAAAACAGTTGTAAAGTATGACACACAAAAGAAACAGATAAACCAAATCTGACAAATCACCTCACTGCCCAGTAAAACAATCTTACATAGCGTTTTGTTTTGATGGCAAGATACTGAATATCTGCAGGACATCAAACGGCTGGAGTAGTTTCAGTGTACTCCCTTAAACCACAACTTCATCCAAGCATGATGGAGGGATGAGGGCAGGACTTTCAGGGGGTTTTGGTGCTTTGCACACCTTAAACTGGCAAGTGACAAACGAAAAGCTTATCGCGGGGATTCCAGCCTTTAACAAACAAGGGTTTGCAGCTTTTCTTTGTGACTTTCATTATATATAAACCATCTTTGGACTGTTAATTACACAATATGAGCTTTTTGAAGAACTCACCAATGAGTCTAGGAACATTTGCTGGCTATTTTATGATATTTTCAGACATTTTAAGGCATTCTTGATTTTTGTTTAGTTTTGCTGTCATAAAATAGATCAGTAGTTTGATCCTCACATACCAACTGTTGCTTGTAGTTTTATAGTATGAGGACATACAGTAAAAATGAACATATTGTGCTAGAATGGGATTGTGTTGACCTATGTGCATATCAGTATCAGTAGTTTTTTTGTTAGTTGTGAATGTCACAGATTGCAGATTGTGATAACTTTTTGCAAGGCTCAGCTTGTGGTTACAATATACATTTTTTATTTTTGCTTTCTGTGCTGAATCTTTGTGTTGTTTTAGTGGACTGTGCATCAGCTGTTTCGCCTTAATTCTGCAAACACAGCAGCCAGTTATCGGTGATTGGGAGGCATGGAAATTCCAGTCAGAGTCATATGAAATTTATTGAGGATGTGTGTCATGTTTATGTCATATTTAGGATGAGAATGCAGCACATTATATGGATCTCTTCTCCTGACTCAGTGTCACCGAGTTAGCTCAGCATTAGAGTAGAATCGGCTCTTGTATGCTTTCACTCATGTCTTCACAGCATACAGTTGTTCCTCATAACAGTGGCTGCTGGTCGACTTTCTCACTTTAGCTCAAGTGAACCTCCCATGTGTGCTGGAATGCGACCATTGCCACATTCCTGTATTCTTGTAGTTAATAATCAAACCAACAAGCCTCGCAGTTTTTATTTGACGACAGCTCATACATCGAGGGCCAGTTTTCACAAGGAATGAGATAATGGCCATCGTGACATCAGAGACGAACAAACAGGCCGTCACAGGAAACGCCCTAGACTTGGCATCATGTGTGTGTACTCATGCTGTGGCAGACTATGACTACACCTGTCTGTGAGGTCAAGGAGGCAAGTCACACCTGAATCACAGGTCATAAGATTCTCTTAATGCTGTTTGCGTTTTGGTTTAGTTTTTTGTTTTTTGTTTTTTTTTGACTGCTCATTTGTTGCTTTTCTGTGCAGGTTAATGTGTAGTTGCTTGTAATTCATTGTATATCCAGGTTTCCTACTTGTGAGTGAACTTCAGAGGCTATAGGCTTTAACACTGTGCTGCCAAGATCTAATTTCTTACTGCTTTAGTCCTTTGAAGCACCGCTAACAAAGTAGCATCATGAGATGACAGCAAAATGGTGTGAAATATCTAAAAAGGTGTAGTAATTTTTTTCCTTCAGTCGTTCTGGTTCAGATTGTCTCTAAAGGGATCGGTATTCATCATGTGAGAAGACATTTGTTATTCTGTAAGAACATTCAATAAATTGGTCACTAAGTGAAAACAAAATATCACAGATTTCTGTGAAATTCAGGAGGCCTTGAATTGTTATAAATAGATATAAAAGTGTGCTACTTTGGCTCTAATGCAGCCACTTCTCCCTCTCTGTAGTCACTCTGTGGTCTTGAGCAATGTCCCACCCACAACACTGTTTGATTAGTTACACGTCATGAGTAACAGTCTAAACACTGATGGACAGATGTTGAAATGTTCTCTTTTAATTAACCATATGTAAAACATGCATAAACAAAAGCATTTCAACAAAGTTTTTGTATATAGTTTGTGTTGTTTTACATTTTGACAACAAAATGTATATTTTCATTACAAGTGGCTCCAATTATCAGTTATTGATTTACTAATAATCAGTATCAGCCCTGGAAAAAACAATATCTGTTAACCCCTAAAATTCCGGTTGACGTAGACTTGAAAGAGTTTGAAACCAGGAATTGCTCCTAAATCTATAATCTTACTTCACAGGAAATGTTGTGACTCTGCTTTAACCTGAAAAACAGCAACAACAATTTGATCTACTGACATGGAAATCAATGGAGAGATCAGCGACACTGACAGCGGCATCATCCTTCATTCAGGTAAAACATTTTCAAAGTCTCTCCATGAAGTACACACACATGCTACACATGCACATTGCACCGTGTGACAATTTGTGCAACGCTTGAAACATTTAGACAGCTTTACTGAGACACTTTATGTATTGTAAAAATGGAGGATTTAAGAGTTTCATAAAATGTTCTATTAAATCTATGCTAGAGGCCCAAACTTTATTTATATATAAAGATGTTGATCTGATGTCAAGACCTCCGGTGAATTCATAACACTTGTGCTTCACATCCTCTTCAGTGGTTAAAAAATGTATGAAAAATGACATAGAGTTAACAACTTGCTCTAAAATGATACTGGCTGCAGTGATCTCAGTCGTGTTCTAAATAAAAATAATCCAGCACATGCTACATATAGCGAGAATTAAGTGGTAATTCCCTCCAGTTGAAAGCAAGTGGAAGTTTTCTACTCTGTTAAAGAGAACAGGTTGTCTTGTGATAAGACGGACAGCCACAAAGAGACTAAAGGTCTCCGGTGACTTGCTGCTGGATTAGTTGCTGAGTCCTGATTCAGATTAAAACAACACTTCACTGATTTGTACTTGGACAACATTGTCGTTTTCAAGATCGACAATTGAAATCAATGATGAAACAGCAGAATAAGCAGTATAGTTCCTCTTTGTCCATGTCAACACCTGGTGCCTACATTACCCACAATGCAACTGCTGCTGACACTTTGACCACAGATTTGGGTGAGCCAGTACCCGATGTAGCTCAACCAAAGATGAGGAGCAGGTAACAGACATCTAATAAGCTCACTTTTTTTCAAGCTCCGCGCCGCCTGGTTTTCTTTTATTTTCTTATTTTAAGTCTTCATACTGAGCCGACACTCACAGACTTCACACAGCTGGTCTGGAAAAAAGGTTTTAATCCCAATTTCAGCAGCAATTTTGATGTGTAAAAATAGTGATGTGAAATATTTTGCTCAGGAGAGAAGTTTCGCTTTTTTTTTTTTTTTACCAATTAAAATACTATGAGAGCTGAAATGATCAGTTGATTAGTAAATTAGTTGATGGACAGAATTTTATCTAAATTAATTTTGGTGAAAAAAAAACTACCCAGGGCTCCAGACTGTGACCTCTGTTTTTGAGAGTGTGCGAGTTAAAATTTAAAGTGCTCACATTGGTACAAGTGTATGATGATCAATAAGATGTATTAGTGTACAGACAGCTACTGTGTTAACCACAGTGGTGGAAAGCAGCACTTTTATAACTTTGGTGTATTTATGCTTAAAAATGTGGTTTTCTTGTGAAAAGCATAGCGCACCAAAAAAAGTTTTTTCTGCTCATGGAAAAGACTGAATGTAGAAATAAAATCACTCTGTTTCATCTGGGACAAATCTGACGCTAGAACACCCTATTTTAACTATTTTCTAGTGATGCACGATATTAAAATTTCTGGCTGATACCAATATCCGACATTAAGATTTCTGATATTGCTGATAACCGATATTGCCGATGTCGATATTCAGTTTTTGTTCACACTGAAATATTTGTATTAGTAAGCACTGTGAGAACGTGAAAACTGTTCAAAAGAAGCCCATACCAAATTAGATCACATAGTCTTCTTTATTATGTAACAAAAGTAAAACATATTTAAACATATTTTAACGTATTTAACGTTCAAGTCCAGGACCATTGAAGTAAAAACATTTGTGAAATAGCAGCAATATCAGATGTAGAGACGAAGGCGCTAATGTTAGACAATCATTGGTTTTTCCACATCAGCTAAATTAGTTCATCAGACCGATACCAATATATGGGAAAAAAAACACTAATATCCGCCGATACCAATGCGGTCGCTGATATATTGTGCATCCCTACTATTTTCAATGTAGTTTTTGGTCACACACCTGTCTGAGCACACCACAGCCACCAAGCAGCATCAACCACAGCCCGCAATGTGAGGTGTTTAGCGAAAATTGGTGAATTGTGGTGTCTTTCAATAAGAAAGTGTTCAGCTTTATGTTTTGCCTGTGACCAGGAGAGAGATCCGACCAAATGACAATGTTTGTCACACCAGTTCTACCAGTGAAAAGGTTAGTCTGGAGTCCTGCTATAAGTTGTTTGGTTATTCAAAATAATGCCAACTATTCTCTGGCGTCAGGTTTTTTTTATAGGGATGATTTACTGGTTTTCTGCCTCTTCTGTGATGTGCAACAATTTGGTCAAGTAAAAATGCTGATTAGTCAATTTAAGTGCAACCTTTATAAATATGTCAGCCCGTATTTCAGGGTGTCCACATTCAACTTCAGGCAGTCAAAAATAGTGTTTTTCCACATTGTCCCATATCTTAACAATACCATGAAGTTAACAGTAAACATCAGCCATCTTGTTTTTTTGGACCCAGTGTGTCTGCTGATTTGTTCTGGTCTTTCTGACATTCCTTGCGCCCTAATTGAGCCACGTGATGTCTGCTCTATACAATGAAAAAGTGTCAGTCTGCAAAGAATAGGGGGATTGTGACTGTAGGAAGAGGAATTCGTTGGCCTATTGTAGCGCTGTCACACTTCTTTCCTGTCGCACATCAGATGTTTGTCAGTACCTGCAGGGATTCTGTTAATAATCTCTGAAGGTATGTGGTGCTCAATGCATTTTGCCTGAAGCCACTCCCACTGCCCTGAGACTAATCTGAATGTCGTCAGTCACCAAGGCTACAGACGGCACCAGTCGAACATTCACATTGTTTACCGCTACAAAGATCCTGACACTGATTTTGCAGTTTCAGTGTAACTAGTGAAAACAGCGATAACAACAAATGGTGCATTGTTTTGTGTCTGCTTCAGTGGCCCGCAGAGTTAAACTATCACACTACTAATACTCACAAGGCAACAGAAAACAGTAAAAAAAACAAATGAAGACAAAAATATAATGGAAACAAATTGATTAAATACAAAGATCACCATCAGCATGAGGAACCTTAACAGGCATTTTTACCTTTTACAAGTCACTTTTTGGTACCAATAATGGTAAATGAATAAATGCAACTATCTGACTTAAATGTATGTATTTTACAGAAAATTATTTGTAAACAGTTCGTGAATGGTCTTTTTCTCGTGCATAATCGATTGGCTTTGTTTTTGCTGTGGATGTGTTTCAAGGTTGCGTGTTTGTTCACTCACATTATGCACATATACAAACTAAGTTGCCACTGTAATGCAGTGCAATTCAGCAGCACCAGAAATTCCCACAGAGTTAAGACTCCAGTGGCATGACGCCAGCAAAACAACACCTAAAGATGTTAGGCTTTACAAAGGTAGGATTTGCTTGAGAGCTCATGTTTTAGGTTGAATGACATTTAGGCAGCAAACTGGCAACTTTGTCTATGTACTGGATTTATATGCTTTTGTGTCTATAAGATTGTTTGATTACAGAAGTAATTATTTAAATTCCTCAATAAATGTTTTTGGATTTGATACATCAATAGCTTACATCAAATAATAAGTGATATATATATACTAAGTTTCTCTTTATATATCAGTTAGATTTGAATTTATTTGTCAGTGTAAAATAAGCTGTTCTCCAGCTCTAGAAAACAGCAATATGCTCTTATCATTTAACATATAATACATCATTTCATTGATGTTAAAAGTCATTATCTGAAGTCAAATTGCTTCTATTGATCTTTACATGACTACATTTGGATTTAAACCAAGCTTATTTTCTTCTGGTTTTGCTTTGATTTTTGCCTTTTCTTAGCAATTCAATTCCTCCACCTTATGGGTTTAGGTGTTGACAACTAAATAAAGACATTTGACTGTCACAGTAAAGCCGCGTGATCTCAGATGAGTCTATTTGCTTCTTTTATGTTGCATGACGCAGGCTCTGACAGCCCAACAACACACACGAAGGATGTGACCACACACACGCGGGCTATGAAAGTTAAACATCAGGATCTCCGAGACCGACTGGAGATCTGCATACTGGAGCTGAAGAAACTCTGCATCCGAGAAGCTGTAAGTAATCTACAGATCAACAGTTTAACCTAATGAGGCCGCATAGGAAAATTACACTGGTAACATGCCACAGAACAAATGAGTCACGTAGTTATGATGATTGAAGTCTTCATAAAGGTTTTAGTAGACCTAGACAAAGTAAAACTCATGACAATTGTTTTTTAATTAGGCTAGCTGGTACACCGTGTACTTACCATAAAGCTGATGATTCAGCAGCTTTTTTTTTTCTATTTTTTAAGGATTAAATTTGGCGGGGCAGTTTTGTGCTGGATTTTGATGACGCATTTTACTGCAGGTTAACAAAGTAACCCTTCAGAAGGACATTTCATACGTGTTTGCCGACATCTGTATCCTCACTAATGTGGAAGACAGAGAAAAGACTGTGCACAGGCCACTCGCATTGGCAAATAAATGTCAGATCACAGGACAATCACAGGGTGCAGTTTTTTTAAACACACTGTTTTCAAACCACATCAAGCAAACACTGGAGATTATAACCCCTTAAACTCTCAGCAACTTTTTTTTTTACTTTCCATCTAAAAGTACATCCCCACAACTGTAGGGCCAAAACAAACAACCTCAGGCTCTGTGGATGAGACACAATCAGGAGGATTTAGAGGTCTTCTTATCACCAGGCCACAGTGAGATTTTAAAAACATCAGCATTTTTACCTCCTTCTTTACTCCTTAATTTACCAAAATACATAGCAGCAGTGAGTCATGACACTGATGTCATTGAACTGTCTCAGCTGCAGCTGAAATGAAGTTCAACAAATGCTACATACATCTTAGTCATAGTTGTACCAATCAGCCTCTTCAGTGGATGTGCCGCACTTCGCAACCTTCAGATTTTTTTTTCTAACAGATACAGCCTGGTTCAGGTACAGGGGTGAAAGGTGAAACTGCCGCTTTGAACAGCAGTTACAGACAGTGGTCACAAAATTGTGACTGTGTGTGCATGTTGGACCAAGAAAAGAAACCATTGATGCATTTTCAAATCTGTATCCATTATCTTCAACTTGGCCTTGAGTCATCAGTCAGAAACTCCACTGAAAGGAAACAAAGGATGTTTTAATCCATTCACCTCTCCTTCAAGCATGCCTGTCCCTTCAGATACATTGTTTAGTGCAGTCTGACGAAGCAGTGAGGCAGCAAGGAGATTTTTCTGAAGGTATTATAGCTTTAGAAGAAGCAAGTTAAATGTTTCCATGACAGCCTGAGTTTGAATCTAGCATGAGACTTTTGTCCCATGTCATCCCCTTTCAATATTTTCTGCCTCTCTCTTTCTGTCTCTGCACTGAGAATTATCACATAAAGGCTAAAACTTGCCTCACACAGTTATTTCAAAACTGGACACATACGCAGATTGAGGCATGTTGCTGCCATGTGTACATGCTCCAGGGTAAAATCCCAGGACTGATCATTCTTTCCTGTTGACACTCGGGCTGGGCACTCCTGTTGGGACATGCTCAGGTGAACTAATGGGAGTCATGATACCCCTCCCTTCTCTCAGTGACAAAGAATAACAAGGCTCATTGGCCACGCTCACCGTTTTTGTCTGTCTGTGAAGGTGGATGGCTCAGAGTGACTCAAAGTGAGAGAGGTTTTTTTTACTGTTTCTTAACAACATCGATAACGAAAGTTCTGATGCTCGGGTTTGATTTGAACACAGATGCTGGAAGAGTGCAACACAAAGAATGTGTTGTGAAAGGAAATCTCTGCAGAATTGTGCAACCAAATCCCTTAACTTATATGTCTGAACATGCAGGAGAGCAGAATCAGATACTTTACATCGTTTTGAAACTGCCATGGCAATGGGTGAATGAACTCTATGAACAGAATCAAACCGAATCTAAACTGAAAAGATTTACTGGTGTTGATTTAAGGGAAGTCTTTAGTTTGATTAACTATTTATTCAAGCTTCTCTTTGTACTCAATAAAATAAACTTTTAGGCATGTTCAGGTGTTGCTTTGTGGACAGTTAGATTTAAATTGTTTCTGTGTATTGCAGGAGTTGACAGGCCGGCTGTCAGAAGATTACCCTCTACTGCCAGGAGAAAAGCCTCCACAGATTCGCAGACGTATTGGAGCTGCATTTAAACTGGACGAGCAAAACATCCCTCATGGAGCAGAGGTAGAAGCATTTGGAGATGGAAAGATGAAATGATGTCCTTTTCACAAAATGCCATTGCTTTAGGGTCACACTGTTGTCTTTCTTTACAGGAGTCAGAACTGAGTTTCGTCGATGCCGAGTTGGCGCTTCAGATGAAGATATATGAAGCTGCACGCAAGCTCTGCGAAGAGGAACACCTGAGTAAGGCTGTGAGGAAGAGCCGGTTACAGCAGTGCAAAAGAGAGGAGAAGAAACTCAAACAGCTACAAGAGACGTCCTTCCAGCTCCGACTGGAGCACGGTCGATCATCGCCACTCCCTGCCTTTAATATTACACAACAAGGTGAGGTGCCTGGCATGGACACAAAGACATCAGTTCTCTTTTATATTTCTCAGGAAATTGATTAATTTTCACTTCATAACCTAAAAAATCTTAATTAAATAGTCCTTTGCTCATGAATGTCTCTTACGTTTTTCAGATCTTGGCACATCGGATGACAGCTCTCTGTCTGATTCTGTTGTGCAAGATGAAGGTATGACTTCACTTGTCACAGCCTTTTACAAAAATCCACTTTTTTCAGTCTAGTGTTGGTTTGGAGTAAGCACAACACTTACTTTTTGTGGTTTAAAAGTGTAACAGCGTTTGCCAAATTGACACTTAACTGTAAAACATGTGAAAATGTGAACAGAATCTAGTAAGTACTAATCTTAAATAAAGTAGTTCTCTTTCTTTCTCTTAATAAAAGTTGCTCCCTAAAAGGGAGAGAATTTGTGGTCAAGATTTATGTGTATCAGCACTAAATACTTTACCACACACAACATAATTTCTGTGTTTTTCCAGAAGTCACAAGCCAGTCCTCTCAGCCATCCTCAGGACTCCCTTATCCAGTAGAAACCGATCCTCCCCAGCCTCCCCCTGCATCCTCGCACTCCTCTGTAGACGGCTCCTACATGTCTCCGTCTGTGGCTAAACAATCCCTACAGCTGAACCTGCCTCAGTCTCCCCTTGCAAGCCTTGACTCCAAGTTGAGTTCAGACTCAAGCCCTCTGTATGACCTTCCTCCCATCCAACACACCCCGTGGACGGAGTCTAGTCTTGACCAACCTTACCAGAAGAACAAGAAGTCACGCTCCTCCAGCAAGACGAGGTAACGCCGATCATCCGTCATGACTCCTTTCCAGTTCATCAAGTTTTCAGCATTAGCTAAACAAACTTTTCTTTGTGGTATTATGTAAGCAAGTTTAATTAGAACTGTCAGAATGTTATTATATGTAGTGACGAAGTCAACACTGTAAGAAATAACAGATCTTTCCAATACAGAACTCCTCCGTACCACTAGTACTGCTGCTTTGAGTTACAGAGTAGATGTTCAGTGATGCTTGTGAATGTGCAACACTGCCATCTACTTCTGCAGCGATGCTACAACAGTCAACTGTTAGAGCCAACACAGAACAATAAATCTTTGTCAGTTAAAAGGAGACCTTGGCACAGAGGTATAATTCACTGTCCGGTAGGCTCCCCCCCTCTAAAGCCTCAAGCCTGAGATAATGTGGATTTTTCTTGGTCAGCGCAATGGGTTAGTGCACGTACTCTTACCGAAGTCATTCATGATGTCAGCCACAGATATATTAGTAATTCTTTTAAGTTGAAACCCTTAAAGATCAAGACTTTTAATTGTCACACACAGTCATGCAAGCACAATATGCAGCGACCCTTTTCACTCTACAAAATGTCTCCAGAAGTTAGCTCCAAATTTGTTTTAGTTTCATATTTTTTGTCATTGACATCTGCTGTGATTAACAAAGTCTTTTTTGAACTTTCTTGTCAAAGAAACATATGGAGAGAAAAAAACAAATGACTTCCAGCTTCCCCCTACAAAGAAACCATATCAAATGTTCATAATAAATTGCACATATTTTTTATTCTGTCATTTTGTGTGCTCAGTAGTCCTGCCAAATCTGAACTGTTGCCACCGTTGGAGGCTTGCTTAGCACAAGCTGGTCTGCCACTCCAACTCTCCCATCTGAGGCTGAGCCGCACCCAGTCGAGCAGCACTCCCTCCACACCAGAGATGCGTGTGCACCGACAGCTTTCCCTCAGGTAGCTGCACCTCATATACACCTACAGTACTGCATGCCCGTGTGGTGCTCAAAACCACCTGCAAATGACAGATGTAATTTACCTGTGCACATATGCATGGACATATTTGCAGTTTTTTTTATGTAGAGTAACCTTGTTTATTTACTGTACATAATTGTTGTGTTTTGCGCAGGCTGTCCAGTCCTGAATCTTCATTCGACAAGGATCGCGGTCGCACCAGGGGTCCAAGGAGGAGACTGACAGAGTACGCAATAACTTTACCACAGACTCCTTCCCCTCCAGTGAACTTTGGAAACCACGCTAACTCAGAGGACAGCAACTCCGAACACTCGTTTACATCCTACAATAGCTCCCCGTGTCAGGAGTCACCCTGTGATTTGCCCAAATATCAGTCTGCATTCCCGATATCAAGCCCAGTCGGCAGCTATGGACCTCAAGCCTTCTCACCCGCTGGCTTTTACCACAATCCCAGACACTTACCCAGCCCCAGTACTAAGAACACCTATTACAACAAAGAGATGGTCTACCCGCCTGATATGGACATGTCTCCTAGCTATTTCCACCAGCAAGCTCCTTGTTCCCCCAACAGATATGAATATTGGTATAAAGACACTCCTGTACCCCACCAGAGATCACAGAGGCCTTTGCCTCCTGACGTCAGACTCACACCTCCAGCACAATGGGACCATCCACAATACCGCTCAAACTGCCTCCCACGACAAGTAGTGAACGAACAACTAAAGTCGTGGCACCGGCGCAGTCAGCTCAAAGCACCCAGGTCTCGTTCTCTGGACAGACAGGGAGCAGTCAGAATGAAAAACGTGTCCCCTCGGGAGGCACCCTGCTACCCAAATCAGAAGTACCACGACCAGGTAAGCTGACAAAAGTATCTGTTTACCTTTTTCACAAAAGACGTTTTGATACCTAAAGCAAAAGCACAGGAATGACTTATAAAATTATTGATGGCTGAATTTCATGTAGTTGCTTCAGTTTCAGATTCTTGATATACTGGCTGTTATGACTTACAGGGACGCCACACTCGCAGAATTATATTTGTCTTTGCATTTTTACGTTACATACACTAAAGGGCTTTGGGTTTTATTATTGCATGTTACATGTTTAATTTCTTGAAGAGAAACGCTAGCATTGAATTGTCTGTTGTGGGTTTATCTGTATTCTAGAAATTTAATCTTTGTGATATTTTGGAATTTGTGTTGTGAAACTGATTCCTACAATTATTAATATTTAGAAATATGTAAATGTTGATAGGATACTGACAAGTTAAATGCATTGTGATAGATATGCCATCACAATTGACATAGGACTTTTTATTAACACCCTTCCCCCCATTTCCATCTGTTTTAAATGCATGCAAAGTTTTTTGTGATGAATGGAAAATATTGAAAAAATGCTTAATTTACTAGTAAAATAAAGCTGTGCTGGTCAAAAACTTGATTTATAGTTCTGCATTTAATCTGCGCAGAGCCTACGCAAGTAGCCTACATTATCATGAGCCTTTAGCCTTGTTTTCTGCTTTGTCTGTGTCACTTTTCCAGATACATATGCGTCTTGCCAAATCAACTGTAAGCTATTGTACGTTATCACACTTTAATTTTGGCTTTAAAATAATTGTTGTTTTGTCTGTTGTTAACTTCCAGATTAATCAAAGAGCGGCTCTCCAAAGAGCTGCAGAGGGCGTTCAAGGGCACTGGGTTGTAGATGACGGCACTCATTATATGAGCCAAGTGTGAAGAGAAGAAACTCGGAAGAAACTGAGCCTGCAAGTTTCCTGTTCAACCAAAGCAAAGCGTACAGAAAATTGAGTTAGATGAACTGTTCATGTCCATAAAGAATTGCCTTTTTTCATGACAGTTCTCATCATCCTGTTTACCTGCCTGACTGCATTTGAGCAAACAGAGGAAGGATGAAAAAACTGGAGTGCTGCACAACACAAACAACCACCTCCAGGTTACCACAAAGTCACAAGCATCCTCAGCAAAGTTCATTTTGTCCACTCTATATGCTGTTTTCTACTAACAGATAAAAATTAAGCAGTAAACATTGAACTGAATGCCTGTGAAATATTAGATATGGAAAGGGGATGAATTGCTGGGTGTTTTTATATGTGAAGAAATCACAAACAAAATAGTACCTAGCAGTGTGGTGGGCCAAGATACCAGGAACTCCTACACAGAAATTGCCACTGAAATTGCTCATTGTAGTTAAAAAAAATTAGAAATGTGAACTTTTCATAAGTAACTTTTTTCATGTAAATTTGTTTAAATTATTTTTAGATGAGTTATTGTTGTCTGGTAAAGTGCTTTAGGTACTTAACTTAATCATACAAAATAGTGCTGCAGTAGATGTGGTTATCTGTAGCTGAAAACACACTGCCAAATAATGCAAATTGTGTGCGTGGATGGACTCAAGACAGAGAAGTTTGCTTTTTGCAGTTTGAAGGAAATGAGTCCACTGTATAATAATGTAAATTTGCAAAACATACTTATGAATACAATCTGTTAATAATGTTGACTTGATTGAGTCGTCACGTTCATGAACTTGAGCTGCTTAAATTCCCAGATTTGTCCTCTTCATCTTGTACTTCTGGAGGCAAATTTGTCCTGTTTTTATACTTAGATGCGTCTGTGACTGTGTGTGTTAACTTGAATTACTAATCAACTTAATTGAAACTAGATATTAACTTACTCACATGGCATACAAAAGTAGCAGATTAAGACAGAAGCAGAGTCTTGACGCTTGGCAGCTATTAGCAGGTCAAACTGAAATTCAGATGTTTTGAGCTTTAACTGTGTCTTCATTTGGTTTTTGAGAAAGCAGGTCACGAGACACAAACCTTCTGGTCGGTACCCGTTACATTTTCACTTTTAAGATGGACTGTATTCAAAAACACTACCAATGTGTGATTGACAAGCAGAAGCCCGCCTATATTGTGGATAATTTGAGTACGAGAGTCAGTTACTACAAATTCAGCTACAGCTACACGCTACTTGGTGTCTCCCAGTGATCTATTTATGTGTTTATTTATTGTGATTTGCACCATTGGACCTATGGAAAGTCAGACTTGAAATAAAAAGGCGACATGGACCAGAGTTTGCGAAACAAATCCAGTGTCTAGTTATGTATGTTTTAAAAAAGAAAAAAAAAAGAAAGAAAGAAAAACAGACCACAATCATGTTACCCTTTGTGCCTCTTTTTTTTTTTTTTATAACTGTCCTTTTTTATTTATCAGGTACATTAGTTTAGTGGACCTAATGTGTTATGTCGCTGTTGAAAATAAAAAAAAAAATCTGTGAAAATGTTTTCCCTGTGGAAGTGAATAAAGAGTATTGTTTGGATATTGTTGGGTTTCATTTATGTGCATCATGTACTGCTTTTTCCAGTGTCAAAAGAGTTTTGCCAAGGCCTTTTTTATGTCGCTATTTTGACATTTTTGAATGATACAAGTGGAAATACGTATACTGATGGCTGAGTTTATGTTTTTCCTCCCCGCTGCCTTGGGTGCTGGCTCGTTTTCACACTGTCAAGTCTTACTGGGACACTTCGGACAGATGAATTATTTATTAGCACCACTTGTGCTTCTATAACAAGGCATTATACAGTATTTGCAGTGAAAGGCCTGATGTTCATGCCCAGCTTTATTTATGGAGTTATTGCAATGGGTGCACATGTGAGAGGAGTGTACTTGAAGGCTGTTATTTATGAAGAAAAATACAACAAGAGATATATTATAAAGAGTAAGGAATACTAAAATCACTTGCAGTTTAGCCAGTAGTGGTTAGGCACTTCTAAATATGTGAAATTTTGCTACGGGGAGCACAATAAAGGAGAATATGACTTAACAGTTTCTGATATGTGGCATGTGCTGCATGTTATTTACACATTTTACATCAGAGCAAGTTAAGTCCCTGTGATTCTACCTGCTGTTTCTACATCTGAGAGGTACAAAGTTTATGGATGTTGTGACACTGGTTGAAGGAAAAAATCACACCTATGTAGAAGGCAACTAAACTTCTTTTCTGGTTCTTGTTTTTGCCTCTTGAACAGGAGGTGAAATAGAGGAAGTCCAGTTGGCTTCTGCTGGAGCATTTAGGATTACCATGACCTGGATGACAGAGAATCTACACAGACGCACGAATGCAAAGTTTATTGTCAGAGGAGGCGGCCATCTGTCATGACAGGCTGTGAGGATTGAGGCTTTCATCCAACCCCATATTTTTTGTCCTCTCAGTATCTGCTTGGCTGATCTCCATGCATCTTTTCTGTGTTTGTGAGTTTCACTATGGATTACAAAATACTCACTGTCGAGGAGGTGATAAAATTTCTCACCACAGTGCATTTGATTTAGCGGACATTGTTATGTTGCAAATACATCTAAGTAGAAACGCTAAATTAAATTATATTTAAAATAGAATTGCAAAATACTTACGACTACTATATGTACGTAAATCTACTATTTAGAAAAAAAATACATGAATTAAATGTTTCCTGTTTCAAATGTTATTGAAATGCATAAAATAAACGTAAACAGACAAAGAGGTTTCCTATCAAAACTGCTTTGCTCACATGAAAGGGGGATTTTATTTTGAAAAACCTGCTGGTTTACGGACGCGGCTGCCGTAAAGAATTGTGTTTCGCATTTCGATAAATAATTCACCTTCCTGGTTTGAAGACGACCTCGCCAGGTAACTTTGGGGCTTTAAATTAAATTGTCACCGCACATGTGAGTAAAATAGTCTTTCTAGCCGATGTTGTGGCTCGGTGTCGTCGTGAATACTTTTGTGTGGCTGTTAGCAGAGTTAATTCAGAAAACTGTGTCCTGCCGCTCGGCGCTAGCTAAAAGAAACGTTAGCAACCTGAAATACGAGCGATTCGACACCAGCCGCGTTATAAACCTTATCCGTGCTCGGTGTATTTCGGTTCGGCACATTTTTAGGAGCCGCAACAAACCGTGTTCATGTGTTGAATTGAGCTGGAGTCGTGTGTGTGTTGCGGTTGTTTACATTTTGTACTCCATGTTCCCTCTGTCGCTGCGCTGCTAATGTTCCCCAGCAGCCGTCTGTCAGCCTTCGCTAAACTTACTCCAACGTTTCGTGTTGTCAGCCTCGGATCTGCACCAGATGTGGTCGTTTTGTCTTAAATCGGGAATATTATCCTACTGTGAGCGTCGATGGGTCGTTTTTGACCAAAGGCAGACCTAATTAAGTTTAGCTGCTTCTTTTGTTCTCTTGTTGTTATTGTTTGTTCGACGGTGTCATATGAGATCCTGATTATTCACGGTCGGCTTTGAACCAGGAATTAGCTAAGTGCTTGATAACAGCATTACATTTTCACATGGGAAATGCTAATAATTGATCTGCAGTACCACAGAAATGCTAAATCAATTCACTGTGTACTCTATGAAAATGTACATGTTGTACACAGTCGGGTCCAGTGTGGCTGATGCGATTATCGATTATATTAATCTAAAGGACAGTAAACGGGGACTATAAAGCCAAACTGCCAGATTGACAAGTGTATTTTCCCACCGGCAACCGCCTTTAACATTCATACAGATTACAGCTCATATATGACAATATAGCATAGATAGATTATTTTTTTATTATGTAAATTAATGAACATTATTTTTCTTTCCAGAGGTATTTATAGGACCTAGTGAAAAAAATATTAGACAAACTAAACTGAGAAAAAATGCCCCAGGTTTTCAGTTGCTGATCCACTTTCACAACTAGGTTTTAGGTGAGATCAACCATCTGTGGCTACTGCACATAGCTACTACACATAATGGCCGTATTGAAAATATTCACTTTATAAAGTTTATTTAAGACTTATTGTTGTGAAAGACAGCTTGACAATTAATCGACTTCAAACCAAAGTTTTTAAGCAGTGAACTGGCAATGTGTTTAAACTGACAGGTTAATTATTTTACAAGTTCATGCCATTCTCTTTGTGTGACAGTCACACTTTAGATGCCATCATATGTTTTAAATCTGTTACACAATATTGAACTATCCATCCATCCATTATCTATACACCGCTTAATCCTCACGAGGGTCGCGGGGGTGCTGGAGCCTATCCCAGCCGACTTAGGGTGAAGGCAGGTGACACCCTGGACAGGTCACCAGTCCATCGCAGGGCCACACTTAGAGACAGACAACCAAGCACGCTCACATTAATATTGAACTAAAGCTTTGTAAAAATAAAAAAATCGTATTGCAAACCAAATCACAATTTCTGCCAGAAAAATCCTAATTAGATGTTTTCCCCAAGTCATTTAGCCCCGTTGTGCAAGAACATTTTTGATGTTGATAACTGCCAGCTGAAATTTTACTGGAAAAATTTCATTTTTTCATTTACCAGTCAATAATGTATGGACTAGCAGTATCAGACATCTGTTTCATTATTTACTGCTGTTCTTTTGCATTGCCACACAACCCAAAATGTACAAAACATAGTAACCGTCTGACCTCTGTAGACATATTGTATGTTTTCTACCTCTTTCCTGTATCATATAGCGATTGTGTGTACTTATCTTTATTTAGTTTAGTGTATGTGCTCTAGCTGTTTCGCCGTATTCCTATATTTGTATCTAAGTTTGTTCTCTGGAGTCTTATTTCATGAATCTGACCACATACTTGGTCAGTCGAGCTGATTGAGGTTCTGGTTCCCCAGGAGGAAATTGAAGTGTACCATCTGAAGCAGAATACAGAGACTGTGAGTGGGTCATCAGGCAGTCTCCCTATGTCAGGCCGAAACGGGTCTGCTAGTGATGCAGACTGCCGGATCTCTGAGGACTGCCATGTCCCAGATGTTGAGCTGATGGAGCTAGGGCCGCTGCTGGAGGAGGGAGGGGGCCGGCAGGCAGCATCTAAAGGCGCCCATCCAGAGGTAGGACTGTTTCAGAAAATTTCCAGAGAAGAACTGTCGTGTCTCAGCAACTTCAGCATTTTCTCGTGATCTCTTTAAAGGGAGCCGCGATGCTTGCCGATGAAGAAGAGGAGGATGATGAGGTGGGAGAGGTTCTGACTTTACCGCTTCAGGCTCACCACGCCATGGAGAAGATGGAAGAGTTCGTACATAAGGTAGTAAAGTCTTTTCAGTGTAGTAAACAGAACTCATGGAGGGAACTTAACCTTTTGCGAATATATTGCAATATATAAGTGACAAGAAATTGCAGTAGAGAAACGCCGTAAAGATATGTTTAAGGTATTTTAGAAACAGGTCATGTATGAGCAATGACAACTGTTTTTTTGGGGGGGTTTTTTTGTTTTTTGTTTTTTACTGGGAATGTTCGTACATATCTAGGTCACAATTCTGTAATATCACATTTGAAGAGTCCTCATCAATGTTGTTTCTATTTTAGAACATATGTAAAAATATATATATATATGTGTGTGTTGGCCAAGGTATTGTTTTTTTTGTAGCATGGAACTACAATTTACTGTCTACAGTGCCTGTTAAAACTTTGTGCTTTGACAGTGGCACCGTTATCTAAGATCAACCTAGCCGATTTCAGACTTTCATATACTATCATAAGAATCCTGCCGGAGAGATTGGCAATGATTTGCAACACTTTCAACAATAGAGTCGTCTCGTCTCAGTGTAACTTCAGTGTTACTTATTGCTTATTTAAACTTTCAAATGTGGCAGAATCGAGAAAAGAAAATAGATCCTACAGCAGTACTCCAGTTTGTTCATAATCTCATGTCAACTCAACATAAATATTTCAGTGACCACTTTAAATGAGCTGAAACTCAACACACTGTTCAACTCGGAAGCGTGCACCAGCTCTACCACTATTCTGTGGTTTAGCAGGAAGGTTAGCGGACACACAGTTGCAGATCCGGATGAACAACAGCAGCAGCAAGCAGGGATTAACCTGTGACTGCCCTGTTGTTTGAGTCAGGTGGTTTTTTTTCATTATACAACATCAGATACAGGATTTATGTGTGGTATAGGACTGTCACACGTCACTGTTTAAGGCAATGCCAGAAAGACATATTTAAAAAAATAAAAAATGTTGACTAGTTAATATATCCTCTTTTTTTGAGGGGGAAAGTCTAACCCACAGTTTAAAACACCAAATAAATTCAACATACAACCCAGAAAACAGAAGCGAGGTGCTTTTTTCAGACATGGTTTATTTGAAAAATCATGAAATATCAAAGTAACTGATACATAACTTTTTTGTCATTCAGGTTTTTTTGGTATTTGACTAATTGTATCATGTCTAAATGTCAGCTTAATGCAATGAAAAGGTGATGTAACTCTTTTATTTCTTTGTCATTCGGTATGTTTTTATTAATCATTTATCCTTGCATCACCCTGGATGCTTTCA